AAAATTATTAAGTCCTTAAAATGCAACTTATGTTTAAGTACACTTGAAAAAACCTACTTACACGATACATCTCAAAATATCCCAAAATTCCAAAATGTTGGTTTCTTTCTGCAACCTTACAAATTCTATCAAACTTGAAGTCTGCGAGTATTTCATGATTTAACATAATATAATATAACATTATACAAATATAACATTACATTTGTTCTTATAACTTTAGAAGCAACCTAAAAGTTAATTAAAATCAGTTAAAATTTTAAATAAAAGTTTAATTTAACATACGTGAGTTTTATTGATGCGACTTCGCACTTATCTGCAAAATACATTTCTCCTAATTCAACTGATCTATAGTCAACTCACTCCAGACTGTTAGTCTATCTACTTCGACCGCTATTTAACACATAACATTTGTTCGTTAATTCTTTATCAATTATCAATTTTTATAAATCATCAATTTTCAATTATTATTAAGATGCTTAAATCAAATATATCTAATAAATAATATAGACTACATTTTTCTCGATAATCTGTTTTATCTGTAAAAATTTTAAAAAGTTAGAAATTTATCTATTAATTCCCCTACCTCAAAAATTCCAATATTTATTTTAAGAATCATAAATTTTAATTTAAAAAACGATTTTCTTCAAATAATAAATATAGCTTAGTTATTGCTAAGTTCTTTTCAAAACAATTGTATTAATTTGATTCTTCAAGTTCGACGGGTTTGTAGATTTAATGCAGAAGAAAAATTTCGTCTCGGTTAGCAGTTTCGAGAGATTCATACTCCCCGAATAGAAATTAATCCCGTGGTTCTGATGAGGTTAATCTCTAATCAGTGTCTGGTTAGTATAACGTGAAGTTACCGGATCCTAAATATTAATAATCTTATTAACAAGGTTATTATTAGTAAGATTCTAATTGCCACGCTGCATTGCATGACTTATGAGGACCCGATGACATCACCTTATATAAATCAAATAACTAATTGGGATAAAACTGATGAAGACTATGGGATAAATTTCTAATTGAGCCAATTACGTTCGCGAATAATCGCAAGAAGAGATTCCCTTATACCTTATCATCTACAAATGTAGTCAACGTAGAAAACATAAACTTAAGAATATAAATAATCCGCTATATTTACAGTCGGACTTGAGAACGTAAGGCTAAGAGCTGCTCGGGGCAAAGTTAATATCTTCGTTTCTGGAAGACGTTGATCCATCCTCGAAGGGGATCAAGTAGAGAAATGAAAAGTGCGTTGTAATGTGCGAAGTTATTACTAATTCGGTAATCTCTAAGAACTAAATAATGGTGTGATAGCGTGTAAATGATTAAATCTAAGGACAGCGGTCACTGCGGGACGAAAGTGAAGCACTTCACGTGTGATATCGAAGAGCATGAAACCAGATCGATCGATTTATCACAGTTTGATTATCGAGACAGGATAGCTTTTCTTTTCGAATTTCGCCTGAATCAGCGAGTTTTTTAGTGAATTAAAACTTGGTTAGTAAACAAACATATATAAACTTGAGCAATTTTTCTACACTGTGTACTCATCTAAATTGAGCATCAATCGAGCGCTTTCTCCCAATCGATAAAAAATAGATCGCTTTTTGGGGAGCAAGCGATGCTTGAGCGCACTTAATCTTCTTTTTTCTCTTTGAGCAAATATTTTACGCAAACTATTGTCCAAATGGCAAGATCTTTTAACCTTTAAGGGTAAAATAAGTGATTAAACATTTTTATAGTGAAATAAAGATATCGGTTAAAAAAATAGATATCTGCAGATATGTGTAATGTAACCCATTATAAACTTGTGTATAAGTTTCGCTGCGGAATTGTACGTTAGAATGCACCGCGTGGCTTGAGCGTTGGTTCGTCGGCTTGCAATAAAACGATTATCGATCTCCCTTCGTCCTCGCGTGCGACGTCACTGACCTATGCAAAGTGCGCTTTCTTATGCGCGCACGTTTACTCGAAAGGCCTTTCATGGACGGAATGGCTGATAAGGATGCGATTCTTAAAATTACTTATTAAGTACATATAATTAAGAGAGTAGACATACATTGTCCCGAAGAACGCAAAATTCGTAATTCTATGAAACAAGGATAATTTCCCAAAAAGTCATAACCTAAATATCAAGACAATGTCCCAAAAAGCAGCTTTACCAAAATATTGGAAGTATACAATTTTCCTGAAAAGTCATAGTAATGAAAGGCGAAAACAAAGTATCCCTAAATATTGAAAAATATTGCAATAGCATGAAACGTTATTACTCTCACTATAAATATGAAACAGTATACTGAAAAGTATAGTTCCTACCACCATATATTAAAGTATGCAATATTATTATAAGGGTACTATCTTTGCGCGCGGAAAAACAGGCCTTCGTTAAAACACTTGCCGTTTAATGAAGACTAAAGAATAAATAAATTTATTAGAAATGTAATCTGTAAGTATTTTGTGATAAAATGACGCCGAAAGAGTTGCGAAAGAATAATTATGGAAATACAAGTAATTAAAAAAGTGACTCATTTTGTGGTTTTGTCACGATTTGGCGAGAATGAAAAAAGGTAAAATATCCTTTTGTATTTATAAAACTTGACTTCATTCATTGAATCCCTAAGACAGAAAAACAATCTTTTTGCAGAAATAGCAGAAAACCAAATTTTGCTGAAAATTTTGACGTTTTTATTAATTTTATAGTTATAAAGATAAATGTTTCCTGATGTTTGTGGAATTCAGCTTATAGATTGTTTCAATATGAATATTTCAAAGAAGCGCATCTATTTTCATTTTTGACATATCGTGAAAATAAAAAAATAAACTATTTTTTTAATTACTTGTATCTCCATAATATATTACTTGTATCTAATAATACATTATTCTTTTGCAACTATTTTGGTATCATTTTAGCATAAATTCTCATAGGTTATATTCATAGTAAGTTTATTTATGTATCTTTAGTTCTCATTAAAGTGGCAAACGTTTTAACGAAGGCCCGTTTTTCCGCGTGCAAAGGTACCTGGTCCCCTTAAATAATAATATGAGTTACATTATATTAATTTTAAATTGTTACATATATATATTATATATTATTACATACACACTATTTAAAAAGTTCTTACAAATAATAGTATTTTTACTGGTAACTTTAAGAACTTTATATTAAAATTCATAACTACGTGAGATTTTTTATACTATCAGTATTAATAGTTAAAAAATAATTATAATGTTTTATTATTTAATAGAAAATTATAAAACAAATATAAAATTTAATATTTTTGTCTTATATAACTTTCTATTTAGTTATCATATTCAGTTATGGTATATTATAATATTTTATATTAGAAATGTTATCATATTTAATAATGCATAATGTAATTTCTAAAATGTGTATATATATGACGGAATTTTCAATAGATTCTAATTTTTTTAATACAAAATAAATAATTCAATTATATACAATTTTTTTAATTTACACTACGTAAAACAATTTAAACTACATGTACTGTTGAGTAATATAAGATTTAAGAATTATTGATACATAAACCATAATAATGATAATAATGATGATAATAATAATAATGATGATGGTAATAATGATGATAATGATAATGATAATAATAACCTAATAATAATAATAAAAATTGTCTCTTTATATTAGTCTCAAGGATATTGTATACTTCGGAACATAACCGTGGAAACTGTATTTTTTAATATATTATCTCATATTTATATGAGAATAATAATGTTTCATAGCACTATATATACTCTTTCAATAATTCGGGATGTTTTGTTTTCGTATTTCATTATTATAATTTTCGGGAAAATTGTATACTTCCAATATTTCAATAAAATTGTATTTTGGAATATTGTCTCGGTATTCAAATCTCGGATTTCGGTATTATAACTTCCCGGGAAATTGTTTCACTTCTTAAATTTCGGTACATTTCTTTTCTTTCGGGACAATATGTGTTCATCAATAAGAACGTATACGGATGCGCGCTACGCACGATCTGCAGCGAGAACTCGCATTCTAGCTGTCATCGACTCTTACATATCATAATTGCTGCATCGTCAAGTCTTTATCAAGGAAAAGTTGCTTTTACAAAATCCGGGCATTATTTAAGTCGACAATTTTTATTGACAGTCTCTTGAGCGCGTTTATCTGTATATTGAAGATGATGTCGCATCTCTGCTGATGTTGAGGCGAGATGTCTCGCTACGATAAGATAGAATTTCCAGAGGAGACCGAGAGAATCGAGTCGACAGGACTGCATCGCGCGCGAGCGTGTCGCGTTAATCATTATTTAATTAAGTCACACAGCCGCACGGTACACGGGCGCGCGATGCGCGCGCTCACAAGTCACTCCGAACTTACAATACTACGTTATCGCTGTACAAGTTAGCTGTATAAGTACATACGCTGCATGTTGTACACTCGTTTGCGAAACGGCTTTAATATATGTTTTCTGGTACAGTTAGATCAAAAATATTTCATATTTACTTTGAAATCGATCCGTGCAGAAATTTATGTTAAAATTTTTTAACATACTTATAATATTATATATATGTATTATATATATGATATAATATATATATATATATATATATATATATATATATATATATATATATATATATA